CCCAATTCCTCACCTAAGAATTAAAAGGTTCTATCAAACATTTTTGTCAAAATTGAGTTATTGACATACATATTAAATGACAACTTATTTACATTAAGGGATGTTTTTTTTATAAGTCAAGGTAGAGAAGACAAGAGGTTGGATCCAAATGCAATTTTTAATGAAAAAGATTTGTGCAGATAAAACAAGTTAAGTAAAAAAACAAGAACTCTGGTATCATGAAGGGCATCAAAAAATGCAAAAACAAAGTGGTGATAAAAGTATAAATAGTAACAAAACAATCATCAAAATATAACTAGAAAAACTATAAACAGGCCACCACTCCCTGAAACCATACTGACAAACAAAGACTCCACCTTGACTGGTGTGTGCAATGTGTATAAATAGTCCAAACAATTGATAATGACGATATTCAGCTGTGTGAATAATGGTTAATAGTGACTGGTTTGTGCAAAGGCATGCTGGGATATGTTGTTCCTGAATGACGTGTAGTATGCAAGCAATCTTTCAGGAACAGATCGCTTGTTATGTGACAAGTTGTTTACATTTTAAGACTTTTTATTTAAAAAAACAATGTTACACACTTATTGTTTGCTATGGAATGCAAAAACTTTGAAGCTCAATATCTCAAAATCCTTCAGAACACAGATAGAACCTTATAATTAGAAGGTGAGCAATTTTAGATTGATGAACAGTGAAAATGAAAAAAATCTAATAATTAAAATATTCAAATAAGTTAGTTTAAGCATAACAAAATAATAATATTTACTTTGACGTAATGAAAAAAAGTTTTGGTAACTCATATTTTTTTGGATGCCGCCCATCTCCCATCTATCTGTTCAAACATTTTGTGTCCCATTTGTTGTCTGTAACTGTCAATATATTTTTGTGAATATTTATTTTTCTTTCTACATGTTTTGCACTTATTATTATCTTTGTAGATAAACTCACTTTATTGCATTTAGTTAGTCTTGGTATTTGTCTTTCACTTATTGATATTGTGTGCTCACTTATGTTTCATCCCAAAATAACGCTACTATCCTTCCTCTTCACTGACCATCTTTAAGTTTGTAACAATTATATACAGTAAGCAGAACTCAAACTAAAAAAGGTATATAATTAACTCTATTTTGCATTAACTCAAATGTTTTAAGTTCATTTAACTTATTTAATCTAGTTTTTGTCTTTGGCGATCAACAACATATTATTTAAAAGAGATTACACACAAGTACACTTAAAACTAAAGGCTCTTTATTGACATCGGTTAAAAACTATCAACTCTATCAAAAGTGTTCATAACAAAAATGGCACATTATTCAGGGATCAGAGCGGAAATCTAAAATTTTGTTGGAAAATTTGTCGTCAGCATCTTTATCGTCACTCTAACGTTACATTCATTTAAAAATAATCATTGATTTTTAGACAAACTTTAATTATCTTTACATATCATACATATCTTTGCAATGTAAAATTATTATAAATACAACCAAGCAAAGATACAGATTAAATAAGCAGTGCTTTATATTATTTCCAGTAACTCTAACAGTATCAAAGTACAAAAAATTAAAGAATCAAATATAAAAACACCATATCGTCAAATAAATTACAAATAAAATGTATCTGATCTGCAATGTTTACTTAAAAATATGTTAGTTTATAAGATTATATATATATATATATAAAATCTTATAAACTAACATATTTTTAAGTAATCTTCTGTATATATATATATATATAAAAATATATATATAGTTTTTAGAAATAGGTCAATATTTTATTTAAATTGCTTCCCAAATTGTGGCTATAGTATGTATGTTTGTTCGAAGAATTTTATTTATTCATTCATTTACTTTTCAGCTAAGTCCCTTTATTATGGGGTTGCCACAGCGAAATGAACCGCCAACTTATCCAGCATATGTTTTATGCAGTGGATGCCCTTCCAGCTGCAATCCATTCATTCATTTTCTTTTTGACTTAGTCCCTTTATTAATCCAGGGCCACGACAGCAGAATGCACCCCATCACTGGCAAACACCCATACACACTCATTCACACACATACACTTTGGACAATATTAGCTTACCCAATTCACCTATAGCGCATGTCTGGGCTGTGGGGGAAACCAGAACACCCGGAGGAAACCCACAAGAACACGGGGAGAACATGCAATTTCCACGCAGATATGCCAACTGACCCAGCTGGAGCTCGAACCAGTGACCTTCTTGCAATAAGGCGATCATGCTACTCACTGCGCCACCGTGATGCCTTCAGAATATTTTACTGTATATATAATATACATACTGTGCATACTGTAATATTTTATTGTTTTGTAAACAATTTTGCAGAGAAACTTATTGAAAGATGAAGCAGCCATCTGTACCAGATCTGACAGAAGATCCATCACAATCCACGAGTAAACAATTTCGCAATCCTCTGCCAGGAAATGATGGATCTATATAAATAATGCTTTCAAACACAAGAGCAAGGGGTTGAGCTGTTGATATTTTTCTCATGGAAACTGTTTCAACCAAGCTGATATGAGCGGAAAACATACTGTATCTTATCTTAAGTTTTATTTTTGATTAACTAATAAAAAGAGTACACATGAAGGACAGCAAGGGGCAGGACGGTGGCTCAGTGATTAGCACTGTCGCCTCACAGCAAGAAGGTCATGAGTCCCGTCTGGGCCAGTTGGCATTTCTAGAGTTTGCATGTTCTCCCCGTATCCACATGGGTTTTCTCCGGGTGCTTCAGTTTCCCTCACAGTTCAAAGACATGCACTATAGGTGAATAGGATGAACTAAATTGGCCATAGAGTATGAGTGTATGTGTGAATAAGTGTGTATGGGTGTTTCCCAGTGCTGGGTTGTGGCTAGAAGGGCATCCGCTACGTAAAACATATGCTGGAATAGTTGGCAATTCATTCCGCTGTGGCCATCCCTGATATATAAGGGACTGAGCCGGAGAAAAATGAATATATAAATGAATGAATTAATGAAGACTGCCAGTAATCCCACCCCTAACTGTCAGAACAATGCATCTGTATGAATTTATGCGAACTGGCCTCTAGTCAAGTTCAACAAAATGTTTAATGAATACAAAAAAACATGAAACTGTGTTACAACAGTGGCTGTTTACTGAATAGCCTCAAAGGAGACACTACTTAAAGGTGCAGTAGTTGATTGTCTTCAGAAGAATTTTTTGTTGTGCTGGTTGAAAGTCTCTTCACAGTCTAATAGTACTGATTACAGTAAATGATCTATGTGTATTTATATTTATTTTTTATTGGGTTTTTGGGTAAGATATAAAACAAAAAAATGTTCATCCAATTAAATAGAGTCAGGCCGACATCTCTCATAATTCCGATAAGAAGCCTAAACTGTCTGTCAGCAAATGCAGATTTGAAAAACAGCGCAGTTGTTCGTAAGCAGCTCCACTGACCGCCGCGTGCTCACAAGATAGAGCATGCGCGCCCGATCGGTAAAAGCATGCTGAATCAAAACTTTTTAAAAACCTGAATCAATATAGGAGTTACCTTTGCATGCTGGAAAAAGAATGACACCCATGTCTGAAGGATTTCTCTTAGACAGGTAAGTTTCTGTTTTAAAACTGTTTTTGTCTAGCAGATTTGGCATAAAGCTGGCACAGCAGGCATTCATCCTGCACTGGCGTACAGCATGTGGGCCAAATATGGCCCTGGGTTTGACAGAGGTGGCACTGTCTTTAAGGCAGCACACAAGATTTGGGCCAGATGTAAAACTTATTATTTGGTTAAGATTTTAAAAGTTGATATGTGGGCCATCCCTAGTAGAAAAGAATTCTGGCCCAGATTTGGCATAAAGCTGGCACAGCAGGCATTCATCCGGCACTGGCATACAGCATGTGGCCAAACATGGCCCGGGTTTGGCAGAGGCGTCACCGTCTTTAAGGCGGCACACAAGATTTGGGCCAGATGAAAAACGTAGTATTTGGCCCAGATTTTAAAATTTGATAAGTGGGCCATGTGAGTTTGGCCAGTCTTGACCCACATTTGAAATACACTAAAATCATTTTTGAGTAAAGAAAAAAAATTCTACCAATCAGGTCACTTTGAGAAAAAGCGTGCCCATAGTGTGCCTAAAGCGCATCACTCCATGGGTTTATCAATTTCATTGCAATCGTGACACACCAACCTATCTGGCCCAGTTCAGGCCCAGTTATGAGTTATTAACTTGGCCCTTGTCTGGAAGCCAGATTTGGTCCAGTCATGTACCGTAATTCACTGCGGCATGTGGGCCAAGCAAAACCTGATTGTGCGGGCCAGAGCTGGGCCAGAGAAATTTTGCTATGTGGGATGTAAGTTTGGCCAGTCTTGACCCACTTTTAAAATACATTAAAATAATTTTTGAGTAAAGAATTCTATCAATCAGGTCACTTTGAGAAAAAGCATGCTCATAGTGTACCTAAAGCGCAACGCTTCATGGGTTTATCAATTTCATTGCAATCATGACACACCAACCTATCTGGTCCAGTTCAGGCCCAGTTATGAGTTATTACCTTGGCTGAGGCTTGGCCTAGATATGGTCCATGTTTGGCCCTTGTCTGAAAGCCAGATTTGGTCCAGTCATTTACCGTAATTCAATGCAGTATGTGGGCCAGAGCTGGGCCAGAGAAATTTTGCTATGTGGGAGTATTTTAGTTTAATAAAGGTCAGTGAAAAGTTATTTGGGTAACCCAAAATGGTTCTTTCTGTGGCATTGCAGGAAAAATACACTTTTGGGAATTTATTTTTAAGAGTATAAATTATTCTATGCTTGAAAATTTTGCAAACTGAAAAAAAAAATGTTATTCAAATCTCAGAGTAATCCAAAAGTAATCCAAACACATTACCCCAAATAAGTAATTTAGATTACATTATAGACTTAATTTTCATCATGTAAGGAAAAGCCAAATGCATTTTAGTAGGGTCTTTATCTTCAACACTCTTTTCCTCCATTTTTTTTTCTTTTTTTTTTCTCTCACCTCAGCATGTCCTCCAGGATTCAGGGTCTTGTTACAGCGTTCACACTTCAGACAGAATTTGTGCCAGTCTTTCCCCAGAGATGTCACTTTCTCCGCTACAAGACACAAAGAGATTTATCCCATTTACAAATCACCGTTCATTTGAAGGCGTACATTAGGACGACTGCTTAAAAGGCTCTTTAAATGAAAGTGTTCAAACTCTCCCCTGAAGCAAGCAGCTTCATTATAATACACGAGCTGAAACGACTCTGCAGAGACTCTTACTGTAATGGTGCCTGGGAAAAATCGGAGCTTTTAGCAAATGGTGGTTTGAGTCTCGTCAGAGGAAAAATGTCCACCCAGCCCACCGAAATGACTTTATCCATTTAGTCTGATGTTGGCTTTTAAAGGGATAGTTCAACAAATAAAATAGAGATTCGGTCATTGTTTAATCACTGTTTACTTGTTACAAGTCTTTTTGAGTTTTTATTATTATTATTAATCTGATGAACACAATACTATATTTAGAAAAATGTTTGAAATGCAAGTATGTAAAGTAAGACGAATGATGTGGAAATATGTTTGGGATGGGGAAAATAATAAGCCTGTGCTTTATCCCACTCCATTTCGATTAATGATGAAATTAATTTTGTTAAAGATTTGTTTTAAGTGTATAACTTTTTGTTCAAAATTAAATCGAATTAAATTAGTAACTGTTGACGTCCATAGTATTTGTCCTACCATGGAAGTTTATGGTTACAGGTTTCCAACTTTCCTCAAAATGTCTTCCCTAATGTTTGGGACAAGTGAAGGGTGAGTGAATGATGACTGAACTTTTATTTTTCGGTCAACTATACATTTGTGGAACTCTTAACCCTTTTACAGGGGGTCGTAGTGGCCTGGCTGAACTGGTGTCCATAGTTTTACACTCAATTTCAAAGTTTGGTGTCATGAAAGCAGATGAACAAATTTTAGTTAGACTAAAAAGAAAAATATAAAATGTTTTATAAATATATAAAGGGTTAATATGTATTTACAGGGATAATTCACCCAGGAATGAAAATGTACTCCCTATTCACTCACCCTCAAATGGTTGCAACCTTTATTAGTTTCTTTCTTCTACTGAAGACAAATTTTGAGGAAAGCTGAAAACCTGTAACCATTCACTTCAGTAGGAAAGACAGCTATAATAAAAGTCAATGGTTACAGATTTCCAACATTCTTCAAGAAATATATTCTTTAGTGATTAAAACAAGTAAAAAAAAAAAGAGAATATGATGACTTTTATTTTTGGGACTCGTTAACACTTTAACCAGTAACTGCCTCCTTTACCTTTTGTAATTTTTTATTTAGATTCAGAATTTGGAGTCATGAACACAATTAACTTAAATATTAGTCAAAGTAATAGGAAAAATATTAAATGTTTTATAAATGTATAAAGGGTTTATGTGTATACAGTAATTGAAGGGATAGTTCACCCAGGAATGAAAATGACCTATTTACTCACCCTCAAATGGTTACAAACCTTTATGAGTTACTTTCTTCTACTGAACATTAATTATGACATTTTGTAGAAAGCTGAAAACCTGTAACCATTCACTTCTGTAGGAAAGACAACTAAAATCGAAGTCAATGGTTACAAGTTTCCAGCATTCTTCAAAATATCTTCTTTAGTGATTGGAACGAGGGAAGAGTAAGGAAATGATGACTGAACTTTTATTTTTGGGTAAACTACATTTTTAACGCTTTAATGAAGGTCGTTGCTTGACCTTTTGTAGTTTATTTGGATTCATGAACACAATTTAGCCAAATATTAGTCAAAGTAATAAGAAAAATATTAAATGATTTTCAAATATATAAAGGTAGAATTGGTTAATGTGTATAATTTAAGGGAATTGTGATATTTTGAAGAAAGCTGAAAACCTGTAACCATTTACCACTTCCATATAGGAAAAACAAATACTATATGTCAATGGTTACAGGTTTCCAATTTTGTTTCCAATGCAAAATATCTTCTTTTATTTTCAACAGAAGAAAGAAAAATGATATGGAACAAGAAAAGGGTGAGTAAATAATGGCAGAATTTTAATTTTTGGGTAAACCATCCCTTTTAGTCCACTCAGAGATAATGTGAAGCCTAATGTCCATCTGTTTACTGTCACCTATGGCAAGCGGTTTTAACATTTAATCTGTAAATCATGTATCTATTTTTAGTCTACTAGTACATATTGTTAGATATAAGTACAGTACTTCTCATTTGCTACTAGTGTTTATTTTTTCGGTAGCAGTACCTTTTTAAAGACAACGGTTATTAGTCATTATAAACTAGTTCTTAATTTTACAATTTGGGTTCCTATATTATTCATTAACCACCAGTACTTGTACAGTACAGTACAATACAGTACAGTATTGTTCAATACATTTTGTTGCATACTACCAATTAAATAGATAGTACATATTTTAACAGTGACTATTAAAGCAAGGCAAGTTTCATTATATAGCACATTTCATACACAGTGGCAATTCAAATTGGTTTACATAAATAGGAATCAAGAGACAGGTATAAGAAAATAACAAAAACAAATAATAAAAGTGATTAAGACAGATAAAAACAGATTAAAATGTGTAGCACAGTGCTCATTCAGTAAAGGCACAGCTCAACAGATGTGTTTTCAGTCTGGATTTGAACGGGCCTAATGTTGGACCACATCTGATCATTTCTGGAAGCTGATTCCAGCAGTGGGGGGTGCAGTAGCTGAAAGCAAGTTCCCCCTGCTGTGACTGAACCCTTGGAATTTCTAGCTTATATGATCCCAAATATCTGAGTGATCTGTTAGGTTTGTATTCAGTGACTATGCTGTATCTGTAATGTATTTAGGTCCTAGGCCATTTAGTGATTTATAGACAAGCCATAATACTTTAAATCTATTCTGAATGTAACTGAGAGCCACTGTAAAGACCTAGGACAGGTATGATGTGCTCTGATCTTCTGGTTCTCAAAGTCCTGGCTCCAGCATTTTGGATGAGCTGCAACTGTCTGACTGTCTTTTTGGGAAGGCCAGTGAGGAGGCCGTTACAGTAATCCACCCTGCTGCTGATAAAAGCATGAACAAAGCATGAACAAGAGTCCTGAATGGAAACAAAGCATCTAATTCGTGGAATGTTTTTGAGACTATTAAGTATTCTATTGCTACACTTTAATAATTTGAAAAAATTAAATAAATTTAATAAATACCATCGACTTCTGTAATTGAGCTACCATTTTGCTTTAATTAATATTATAAGATTATTATTTTTTTTTCTATTTAAGATTTTGATTGAGCTTAACTGGGGCTAGTTCTAACATAACATGAGTAAAAAATCAAAATAAGAATTTCACTAATAAGTAAAATAAATAAATAAGAACCAGTGCCTATTAAATAACTAATATAATCCATTAAATAGGTATTGAATGCATATGCCCATGTATTTATTGTGGCCATGTATTATTTATGTAGACTCTAATGAAGAAGAATTACTGAAACAATATCTAATAAAAGGAGACGTAGTGGCGCAGTAGGTAGTGCTGTTGCCTCACAGCAAGAAGGTCGCTGGGTCGCTGGTTTGAGCCTTGTTTCTGTGTGAAGTTTGCATGTTCTCCCTACATTCGCGTGGGTTTCCTCGGGGTGCTCCGGTTTCCCCCACAGTCCAAAGACATGCGGTACAGGTGAATTGAGTAGGCTAAATTGTCTGTAGTGTGTGTGAATGAGTGTGTGTGGATGTTTCCAGGAATGGGTTGCGGCTGGAAGGGCATTCGCTGCGTAAAAACTTGTTGGATAAGTTGCCGGTTCATTCCGCGGTGGCGACCCCAGATTAATAAAGGGACTAAGCCGACAAGAAAATTAAAGAATGAATGAATATCTAATAAATGTGTACTAGTATCTAATACTATAGTATCCATAAAACTAGTATCTAAAATAAATACCCTAATAAATAATAATTATTAAAATAAAAGTAATAATATAATATAATATAATATAATTTAATATAATATATATAATATAATATAAAATAATATAATACCGTATAATATAATATAATATAATATAATATAATATAATATAATATAATATAATATAATATAATATAATATAAAAAAAATATAATATGTAAAATTGAAACACATTAGCGAAACTTAATGTAATATAACAGAATACCTCAATAACAAATCACATCAGAAGAAAAAAAAAACTTTTGTTACTAGTCACTAATGAAAGAAGTCCTAGTATTTATTTAGCAACACTATAGATCTAGATCAGGAGTAGAGCTGCACAATTAATCAAAAACTATCGTGATCTCGATTCGACACCATAGACTATCTGAATACCGCATTTCTATGATTCTATTATTCATATTTTCAAGTTCAGGAGAGAAGCAAAGGCGGCTGCACGAGTCTTTTTATTGTTTCACATACATTGCTCAGCGACATGGACACCTTCAAATGATGTTAACGAGGCACATACTGTATTCATAAGGTATAATTTACCTAAAAATGTTATTTCTGTCTTTATGAATTGCTTAATTTGCGGCCGAGAAATCAAACGTGACATGAGCTGTTACCACAGAGAGGGCGGGCGCGTGCACTCTACTTAATGATAGACGCGCGCACGTCTACTTTAGTTAACAGAACCTGCATAGGCTGTGAGTAACAGGTAATAAAGTAGAAAATAATATTCAGTTTGTGGCACAGAGTGATCGTTTGAGAAGTGTGATCTTTATTTTAAGCAAAAAAAACTATGATTCTCATTTTAGCCAGAATCGTCCAGCTCCAATCAGCAGTGTCCAAACTCAGTCCAGGAGGGCCAGCGTCCTTGATAGTAAAGCTCCAACCCTAATTAATCACACCTGAACCAGCTAATTATATCTAGTTAATATATCTAATAAGAGCTACTAGATATACTAGAAACTTCATGGCAGAAGTATCTAGAAGTACTAGGATTTGTTAATAAGGACAAGTATGAATAAATACTGCCTAATAAAAACATACTACATTTACATTTAGTCACTTTGCAGACGTTTTGGTCTAAAGGTTAACAAGAAGAGGGGATACACATAAGAACTGTTTGTGCTCAGAGAA